GCAACCTCCAACTCCTGGGCTCAAGTGAGTCTCCTGCCTCAGCCTCCCAAGTAGCTGGGACCACAGGTGCCCGCCACAATGCCTGGCTATTTTTTTTGGTTGCAGCGTCATTGTTGTTTTGGCGGGCCTGGGCTGGATTTGAACCTGCCACCTTATGTGGCTGGCACCTTAGCCACTTGAGCCACAGGCCCCTAGCCCAGTGCTGATTCTGAAAAGGAAATGCATAAAGGATAATATTTGAAGATTATGTCACCGAGTCCTGTAAGGAGAAAAAGGACATCAGCATATTCTTTTTTTAGAAATCACTTACATATTATTATGCATGCATTTTTACTTAAGGAAAATGCAGGTACATGCCATGGGTCCTACTAGGCACATGAGAGAAGCATGCAGAAATATAATACAGAAAATTTAATTCACAGTGATGCATGTCTGATTTCACAAAGAAATTTTTTTCCCAGGCAGTGCCTGTGGTTCAGTGAGTAGGGTGCTGGCCCCACGTACCAAGGGTGGTGGGTTCAAACCTGGCCCTGGCCAAACTGCAACAGAAAAATAGCTGGGTGTTCTGGTGGGTGCCTATAGTCCCAGCTACTTGGGAGGCTGAAGCAAGAGAATCGCCTAAACCCAGGAGTTTGAGGCTGCTGTGAGCTGTGAAGTCATAGCACTCTACTGAGGGTAAGAAAGTGAGACTGTCTCTACAAAAAAAAAAAATTTCCAGATGCTTCATCTGTAAGAACTCATTGGTGCATTACTATCATCTGCTATGAAGTACCCTCAGGTGGAATAAAACAACCCTGGTAGAGTGGCCAGACATGGTGGCTCATACCTATAATCCTAGCACTCAGGGAGGTTGAGGCAAGAGAATCACTGGAGATATTTTTGGTTCTAGTTCTCATTGTTGTTTGGCAGGCCCGGGCTGGATTCGAACCCGCCAGCTCCGGTATATGTGGCTAGCGCTCTAGCCACTGAGCTACAGGTGCCACACCATGGAGCCCAAGAGTTTGAGGTTGCGGTGAGCTGTGACACCACTGCACTCTATCAAGGGTGACAAAGTATGACTCTTGTCTCAAAAAAAAGACACTGGTAGAAACACTCTGATTTATTTATAGCTATGAAAAAATATTAATCTTCATTAGTTAAAACTCCAAATTATGATGCATCCTGAATAAAAGAGATGCAAGTTACAGTGCCAAGAGGTAAATGTGAATCCTCCTGAAGAACATGCTCTACTAGTAGTTTTGATAAAAATGTCTATTTGGGTTTGACTTTTCTCTTTAGCTTTTTTTTTTTTCCCCAGTTTTTTGGCTGGGGCTGGGTTGGAACCCACCACTCTAGCATATGGGGCCAGTGCCCTACTCCTTGAGCCACAGGTACCACCCTCTCTTTAGCTTTTTTTTTTTTTTTTGTAGAGAAAGAGTCTCACTTTGTCACCCTTGGTAGAGTGCTGTGGCGTTACACAGTTCACAGCAACCTCCAACTCCCGGGCTTAGGCAATTCTCTTGTCTCAGCCTCCCAAGTAGTTGGGACCACAGGCGCCCACCAGAACGCCTGGCTAGTTTTCTGTTGAAGTTTGGCTGGGGCTGGGTTTGAACCCGCCACCCTCGATATATGGGGCCAGCAACCTGCCCATTGAGCCACAGGCGCCACCCTCTCTTTAGCTTTTAAAAAAGACTTTTTTGTATCAGTATTTGATGAACACCACCTACTACCATCCAATGGAGGTGACCACCAGTATCCCTGCATTGTTTCTACAAACTTTATTGGTCCTTAAGAACCTATTGCTGTCTTTCCATGAAATTCTCAGTGTCCAAAGCTTGTGGCCTGTTCTTTATCTTTGATTTGGTAGAACATTTGGTTCATAAAACCCACCATATTTCTCAAGAAGCATGTGTGAATGGTCTAGGCATGATGACCATTATACAACATTCACTACTCATTGCCATCCTGTGTAAATCAGACAATATTAACCTCAAAGGAAAAAGGTATGATGACTCACATCTGTAAACCCAGAAAGTTGGGAGACCAGATTGGGAGAATTGCTAGAATCCAAAGTTTGAAACCAGCCTGGGGAATGTAGTGAGACTGTTTTTCTCACAAACAAATTAAGAAAAATCAGGTGGACCAACTACGGTGTACTGTAGTCTCAGCTGAAAGGTAGAGGGGCCAGGATAGCTAGCACCCTTGAATTAGAGGGTGCACTAGGCTGTGGTCACAACAGTGCACTTCACCCTGGGTGCCTGCCACAATGCCCGGCTATTTTTTGGTTGTAGTTGTTTGGCAGGCCTGGGCTGGATTCGAACCTGCCAGCTCTGATGCATGTGGCTGGCACCCTGGCCGCTTGACCTATAGGCACTGAGCCTAAAGCAGCCTTTTGAAAGAACCTCAAATAATGAAACATTGTATAACATAAATATAATTGACCATGTCCATATCTCCTGGCCAGTTTGATATGTACCAAGTCATGAGGGGCAATATATTTCGATTTATACTCACTCTCCACCATATATCATCAGACATTAAATACTGGTAAAATAGAGATTGATTTCTTTCCTGTGCAAACTGTCTGACATTCCGGAGGACTGGTCCTTGGGTATTAGTAACATAACAAACATTTCTTTTGGGTGGTTTCATTGAAGATGTACCTTTACTTGTGTAGTAAGTGGTCAGGCCTAGATAAAGCCCCAGTCACACACATTGTATTTATCTGATTTCTCTTTAGCATAGACTCTGTGATGCTGATTAATGATGGAACTCATAATGAAGAGTTGGCACTCTCAAGGAATTTGCAGTCTCTCACAAATGAATTCTCCGATGCTGTGCAAGGCATGAAATGTGACTAAAGACATTAGTGCATACATTACATTTGTAAGGATTCTCTCACACATGGATTCTTTGATGACTTTTAAGATATAACTTTAAACTGAAGGCCTTGCCACACTCATTACATTTGTATGGTTTCTCTCCAGTGTGAATTC